ATAAAAAATAGGAAATTATGAAAAAAATATAAAATTTACACCAAAAATTCAAAAATAAATAGAGTAACCTTAAATTCAACAATTTCAACAATTTTTTTTATTCAACAAATTTTTATTATTTTTGGATAAATCCCGAAAATGAGTAATTGGCTAATAAAAAATAGGAAAAATATGAAAAAAACTAATTTAAATCTTTTTGTTGAAATTGTTGAATTTAAGGTTACTCTATTTATTTGTGAATTTTTGGCGTAAATTTTATATTTTTTTTCATGTTTTTCCTATTTTTTATTAATAAATTACTCATTTTTGGGATTTGCCGTAAAAAATAAAAATTAAAAAAATTGTTGAAATTTTTGAATGTAAAGTTACTATATTTATTTGTGATTTTTTGGCGTTAATTTAATATTTTTTTTCATATTTTTTATTAATCAATTACTCATTTTCGGGATTTACCGAAAAATAAAAATTTTAAAAAATTGTTGAAATTGTTGAATTTAAGGTTACAATATTTATTTGTGAATTTTTGGCGTTAATTTTATATTTATTTTTTTCAGTATTTTTCCTATTTTTTATTAATCAATTACTCATTTTCGGGATTTACCGAAAAAATAAAAATTTAAACAACATTGTTGAAAATGGGTCGGGTAGTTTATTTAAAAGGCGGGTTAATTTATTGGTCAGATTAGGTGTTTATGGGTTCAAATTTTTTAGGGGCATAATTGATCCCTTTCCATTTTCATATAAATGTACATGTGGTAAAGTCAAAATGACATGACAATTCCATGTGACATTTAAAGAAGTGGAAAATGAGTTGGATATGTCCAGCAGGCCAACTAACGCCCATAAGGGCATATCTACGAAAAGTTGGACGGCGAAGACATGAGTGAGCCAAACTTTAAACGAAGGATATATCTAAACCTTTTCTAATAGTTTAGAGGCATATTTGACCCTTTACCCTTTGAAGTAAAGGACAGCTCCACGTGTGATGTTTGATGAAAAAAGCTTTGTTTCTTTATTACTTGGAAAGACAGATTCTGTATTTGAAAGCTACGTGATATTTCTCTCCGTTCATTTTTAATTGTCTGTGTTTTTTAAAAATTAATTTGAATAATTTTCAATGTTAAATTAATTTACATTAATTAGATATTTTAAACAAAAAAAAAATAGATATTCAAAAACTATATGAAAAGTATTATAAATTACAATTTTTTACATATCAATATGATGAAAAAATATAATATAAAATATTAATCAAAATTTTTATATTTTGACTCTAAAAAATGAAATCAAGACAATTAAAAGTAGACAAAAATAGTAATGGGCATCAATCTCTTTCTAAATAATAGTATTATACTTGGGTGGTTGAGAAAAGGATTGATTGCCAAAATAATAAAACGTGTGATCCTTGTTACGAAAGATTATAAAAAAGGTTTCATCCTTTGCTGGTTAAATACTCCTTTTATTTAACAATAGTTGTTCATCATCTATTTGATAGAAAGTTTAGAAGCACTAAATGATAGAAGTAATTTTACTAAATCACAGTTATTAAATATAAGTCATTTAAACATTAAAAAGTGAATAATATTTAACAGTAAGGATAAAATCGAGACAATATAATAGATTATTCATTAATTTTATAAATTAGACAAATATTATTAGGCATCTCAAAATAGTATAATGAACCAGTAAAGATAGACAGAAATATGTTATCAGAGATGGCTACTAGTTGAGACGATTAATAGTCAAGGGCGGCTCTACAACTTTGAAAAGAAAAAAAAAACAATTGCCTAAGGCCCCAAAATTTGAGAGGCCTCAGTTTTTTAAAAAAAAATAGGTTACATGTATTTTTTTTAAATATCGAGTATTACTCGCAGAAAATAAACTTTTCATAAAAGACCAAAGAAGTAATAAAAGTTCGATAATTATGAATACTATGTCTCAAGAAAGATTTAATAATTAGCTATAATAAACTTCATAAAAATATATATT